ATATAGGTGTTACAAAGGGGTCTGGTGGGGTCAGGGGGTCTGGTGGGGTCAGGGGGTCTGGTAGAGTCAGGGGGTCTGGTGGGATCAAGGGGTCTGGTGGGGTCAGGGGGTCTGGTGGGGTCAGGGGGTCTGGTGGGATCAAGGGGTCTGGTGGGATCAAGGGGTCTGGTAGAGTCAGGGGGTCTGGTGGGATCAAGGGGTCTGGTGGGATCAAGGGGTCTGGTAGAGTCAGGGGGTCTGGTGGGGTCAGGGGGTCTGGGGGTCCTGGCAGCACCTTGGCTCCACAGTCGGCCCCTCTGCTCACACAGAAGCCAATAAAAAGCGGGTCGGCCATCTTGACCAGGATGTTGTCCACACAGTACACGTGCACGTACTCCACCCCTCTCTGCTGCATGTCCTCCAGGACCTGATGGTCCACCAGGGCCTGGTACAGACCCCCGTTACCATCTGACACAGAGGACACAGAGGAACAGGTTCACCACAGACAGGTCCTAACATCCAGACCCGAGCCGGACACCTGAACCCACCTGGAGCCATGGCGATCTTTCCTTTGCCCTCCAGGATGACCCGCCCCTCACAGGTGACGGCTGGCAGCATCCTCTGCTCGAACATGATGATGTCAGAAGGTTTCAGACCAAAGTACCTGTTCTGTCTGAAGAAGGTCTGCGTGGGACTCAGAGTGAACTCACTGGTCATGATGTACCTGTACAGGTGACCACACAGAGGGCGGGGCCAGGAGTCATTACACCTAATTAACTCGGAGTTAACGAGCTGTGATGAAGTGATTCAACACAACCTGCTGGTTTCTTCTTCAGATTGTTGTTTATATGTGCAGTGACCTGAGACACCGAGTGTCTTGACCTGAGACACCGAGTGGCCTGACCTGAGACATCGAGTGTCTTGACCTGAGACACCGAGTGTCCTGACCTGAGACACCGAGTGTTCTGACCTGAGACACCGAGTGTTCTGACCTGAGACCTGAGACACCGAGTGTCCTGACCTGAGACACCGAGTGTTCTGACCTGAGACACCGAGTGTCCTGACCTGAGACACCGAGTGTTCTGACCTGAGACACCGAGTGTCCTGACTTGAGACACCGAGTGTTCTGACCTGAGACACCGAGTGTTCTGACCTGAGACACCGAGTGTTCTGACCTGAGACACTGAGTGTTCTGACCTGAGACACCGAGTGTTCTGACCTGAGACCTGAGACACCGAGTGTCCTGACCTGAGACCTGAGACACCGAGTGTCCTGACCTGAGACACCGAGTGTCCTGACCTGAGACAC